GAGGCTTCAGCTTACTGATCAACCCTTACTTCCAGTGAATCAAGGATTCAGTGCTCTTCTGCATCCTAAAGCACCCAGTTCAGTGGTCAGAAATCAAGGCAGGGTTTTCTTTTCTGCTGCCTTCTCCGTGGGCAATATTAATCCCTTCCCATTAAGTCCCAAGTTGGTTTCCCAACAGAATACAATTCTGCTACATATTCTACATTTACAACTGGTAATTTGATAGATCCAGTTTAAATCAAGATGAAGAGACACCAATTAGTGCTATCTTAACAGACGACCGGATTTCATAGGACGAATCTCTCTGTTTTATAGAAATTCAACTGGAAAGCCAGTGGCAAGAGCACAAACAATCTGCACACAGGCAAATGAATCTAAATACTGCACAAAATCAGTGAAAATAAGCAGCACATCTCTTAGCTTTAATGGAACTCAGAACAAAATCCCCACAGCATTTCCCCTCAGAGGAGTACCCAATTCATCCAAGCCTCAGGCAACTGATCTCAAAATGTTACACTGGTTCCAAAAAGTTTCAGAAAAATCATGTAGCTCACAGCTAATCACCAGGCCTATATATCTGTCCTTGACTGGAAACCTGCAACAGCAGGGCTGCAAAATGAAACTGACCTCAAGTTCGCATGATTCTCAGGCACATCATAAACAACTTATTCCCTCCACCCCCTTTATTTCCCACAGTGCGAAACCTGAAAGCTCCCACTTATGAAAACCAATACCCAGTTCATCTTCAAACAGGTCAAAAAATCAACTAAAAACAGGCAGGATACTGCGAGGCTTCACTGGGTTCCACCCAATTCAAACTGGTCAAAACCTGACAGCCTCAATGAAGGCAGGAATCGTCAGACGCTCTCCACGAAGTTTAATACATTCTTCCCGCGCTTTCTTACATATCCCAAAAGTCACAACAGAAATTAAGTGTCACTTCCCTCCAAAACCTGTGGACAAAAGATAGACAGGACAATGTAGGATTCTCACCATTAAATGGACAAGTGTCATTCCCAACTTTGAAACTCCTGACATTAAGTCAACAATAATAATAAGACTTTCCAAACCACATCCTTTATTATTAACAGAAGGAGCAGCTGCTATCAAAGCATTTCTCTCATCATCTCGTCGTGTCTGCCAACAACAAGCTCCAGCGTATATCAGGCATCAGGACCCACAGGACATGGATTTCCTTCAGTTTAGAGACCTGCCTTTGCACAGAAGGGCTCGCACACATTTTTTGGGGGTTACCTCCAAACAGATGGATTACAGTTGCCCACTAACTCAGTCCACAGGATCTTGAAGCACACAGTCCTAATTCACCCCAAAGTTCTGTGACCATCTAAAAGCTTTTCTCCTAAAAAGATTATGAAGACAGGGGGCTGATACCAATGGGAACAACGGGACAGAAGGAATCTCAAGAAGTCTGCAGAGTTGGTCAGATGTACAGAACAGGTCAAGGAAAGTCTGAAACAAATAAACGCATTTTCTCCCACAGTCCATCAGTCACCTCATGGTTTTACTTCACCTATAAAATAACTTTTTAAAAATATTAACCTTAGTGAGGACAAAAAACAAGTAAGTACCTGCTAGAGGACATGCTTCTGCCCACTCATGGCCCCGTGGCAGAACACCACAGTGTAGGCACAGCCAATGCACTCAGAACACCTCATCTCCCCAGCTTTAAGAAATGGCTTTTCGAATGTTAAAGCTCAGTGGGACTTTCGGAAGTGTTAATTGCCTCTGAACGATGGCAGAGACATAGGGGCACCTGTGGTGGGCAATCCCCTTACCGTGCTGTTTCAGATAAAGCAGGCTTTTACAGGCAATCTTTGACACTGGCTCATCAGCCGTTCTTCTGCAATTTCTTCCCCCTTAGTTTGTTTTTCAGCCTTTCTTTTTTATTCTTCAGTGAAATGCACCTGGGGCACTGCTTGCACTCTTCCCTTTACAGGTTCAAAAACTGATTCACAGGAAAAGCTCTCACTGCATCTATCTCCCAGCCTGCAGCCTCTGTTCCCTGCCTGCCCAGTCGGAGAGAGAAGAAACAACTCAGCGCACAGCAAAAAAAGACAAGGTCATTTCAATTAATTAAAATGGACCATGAGCAACCCCAGAAGCTTTTGTGTAGGGCGGCTTCTATTTACAGGCAAGTGTAAAAAGCAAGATTTTCAGACAATGTTATGAATGAGTCAGACCTGAGCCACCAACTCATTCACCTCTCGAGTTCTTCAATAAACAGTTAAACTCTGCCCCAACCAAAGCGGGAAGAAATGCAATTCAATGGGCAGCACCTCCACACAAAGCGTGTTTTCAGCAGTGCCTTTAATCCCTTACCAGTGACCAACTATCCTTCAAGCTCCCACATTCTATAACGACAAGTGCTTCCAGAAGGTGGCTGGTAACTCAGGAGACTACATTTTCCTTCTTTGGACGGTTCTCTACGGGATCGTGCACATAACGACAGCAAAGCCATATCTCCTTTAAACATAATTTCTCCCTCTGAGTAGGTTTTTCCGTGTATGCTACAAACTCAAAACTGTTAAGATACACGACTTAGGCCTCAAAACTTAGCTCTCAAAAGAGCAATGTGGAAAATAAAATTGGATCCCCTTAAAGCTACAGTTGATGCAGAGGGTTGACCAATGTACAGGGGAGTTGTATGGGGGGTTAGAGGCATTTGCTTGCTTAAGCAAATGTATTGTATGTACCTGTCACGCCTACTAAGCAGAACAAAGGCACTAACTATTGATAAGGAAAAGTAGACACTTGGTTCCATTGACAAGGAAAAGCAGACACCTGATTCTACCGATAAGCACCTATTGATAAGGAAAAGCAGACCCCTGAATCTACTGTTAAGGGGGACAAGCAGATGGCTTATGGCTGGGACCAAACCCTAAGGCCATACTTGAAGACTAAAAGGTGAAAAGTTCAAGAAGAGGAAGACTCATTTACTTCATCTTGAAGACCCCTACCCACAGCAGCAAGACTCTCCCATCTTGAGACCCCTGCCCATGACCGGGGGGGCACTGCGCAGGCGCAAAGGACCTTCTAGCTCATTGTAATATGAAGCGGGGATAGGACATGAATATGTATAGGTGTATGGTGCAACCTGATAAATGTAGAGGGAAACAACACTGGGGCACGCATGATTTGAGGAATTATCCCTGTGCGTCTCAGCGCTGAATAAAAAGCATAACTACTTTACAACTTTAACGAGTTGTGGAGTCAATCCACGCATCACAGTCAGTTACCAATTTCGCAATTTTTATCTTTAAGGGGAACTTACTGCCACCAACATGGACAGTGGGATCAAGCATGCCCTTTGCAAGTTTGCTGACAAACACACAAAGCTGTGTGGTTTGGTTGACAGACTGGAGGGAAGGGACGGAATCCAGAGGGACCTTGAGAGCTGGGCCAATGCCAGCCCCACAAAGTTCAACAAAGCCAAGTGCAAGTTCCTACACATGGGTCAGGGTAATCACAGGCACAGCTACAGGTCCCAGAAACAGCTACATGCTGGTCAGAGCAGAGATTCAGAGCAGCCCTGCGGAGCAGGACTTGGGGGTGCTGGTCAATGAGAAAATGAACATGAGCTGGCAGTGTGTGCTTGCAGCCCAGAAAGCCAACCATGTCCTGGGCTGCATCAAAAGGAGTGTGACCAGCAGGTCGAAGGAGGTGATCCTGCCCCTTTATTCTGCTCTCATGAGACATCACTTGGGAGTATTGTGTGCAGTTCTGGTGTCCTCAACATAAAAAGGACATGGAACTCTTGGAACAAGTCCAGAGGAGGGTCACAAGGATGATCAGGGGACTGGAGCACCTCCCATATGAAGACAGGCTGAGAAAGTTGGGGCTGTTCAGCCTGGAGAAGAGAAGGCTGCCTGGAGACCTCATAGCAGCCTTCGAGTATCTGAAGGGATGCTGGGGAGGGACTCTTGATCAGGCACTGCAGTGATAGGACAAGAGGTAATGGGTTTAAACTGAAACAGGGGAACTTTAGGTTAGATAAAAGGAAGAAGTTCTCTACTGTGAGGGTGGTGAGGCACTGAAACAGGTTGCCTAAAGGGTGGTAAATGCTCCATCCCTGGCATTGTTCAAGGCCAGGCTGGACAGAGCCTTGGGCAACACAGTGTGCTCTGAGGCATCACTGCCCATGGCAGGGGGTTGGAACTAGATGATCTTAAGGTCCTTTTCAAACCTAACTATTCTATAATTCTACGATTCTGTGAAGTCTTAACCATACTTTCCCAAAGACAGTTACCACAAATTCCCTCAGCTGTACCCAAACCATTTCTTGATATGCAGAAACACGCATGATCACATTTTCAGCCTGAAAAAACATTTGCAGCTCCTTGTTAATAGACAGATGGAAGTCTTCTTTGCTCAGGCATCTCAAATTATTCTAAGGAGTCTGAAATTATTAGAATAACTTTAATTATTCTAAAAAGACACATAAAACGACACCACTGAGCGTTCTGGCCCGAACCTCATGTTTCAGATCCTACAAACCCTGGAAAAGTACACATGTCAAAACCCCCATGGTTCAGTGGATCAACAGAAGAGGGCTAATGTCACAAAACAGAGTCCCCCATCATCTGGCCTGATGTAACAGGTATGATGCACCACCATACATACCATCATAGAATCACAGAATCATAGAATTATAAAATTATAGAATGGTTAGGGTTGGAAAGGACCTTAAGATCATCCAGCTCCAACCCCACTGCCATAGACACATACACCTCACACTAGACCATGTCACCCAAGGCTCTGTCCAACCTGGCCTTGAACACCGCCAGGGATGGAGGATTTACTGCTTCTCTGGGCAACCTGTTTCAGTGCATCACCACCCTCACAGGAAAGAAGTGCTTCCTTTTATCTTACCTGAACTTCTGTTTTATTTTGAACCCATTACTCCTTGTCCTGCTGGTACAGTCAATTCTGAATTAGGTGGCACACAAATAAACTTGCTTAGGGAGAGCTGGGACAGAAAAGAAAGAAGTTTCTCCACGCATTGTCCCTCCCATCTTCCCTACATCTGAGATTAAGCCTCATGTTTCTGTACAACAGGCCAATGTGGTGCAAGTGGGACTGATAGCTCAAAACATTCCCCCCAGCATTAACAACATCACACCAGGGTTTTTTGCAGTAAAATCACCTTCACATTCACAATGTTTTTAACACCTTCTACCTGCCTGTGAAAGAAGGTCTAGCAGCAACAACTTGCTCAATTCTACAGCTATTTTAAAGTGAAACATCACTAGTCATTTGCTGCTGCTTAGCTTCCACAATCAAGTGGAGCTGTCTCTTGGCAATGGCTGTGTTTAAATCCCATAAGAACTCCAACAGCTTGCCCTGGAGGAGAACCTCCATGGGCACAAACTGCAAAACTTGCTGGGGAGAGTCTGTGTCAAGCAAAGAGCTCATGAGTTCCTTCAGATGCTGCAGGTATAGGACAACTGGATTTGGGAGGCCTCGGTAACCAATGCACAGCAAAGCAGCGCTGCTCCTCAGGGGCTCAGGGCAGGCTGGACAAGTGAATGTGATGCGTCTGAAGCAGCAGTGCAATATAAACACCAGGCCAGCTGTGAAGCGTGTAAGACAAGAGAGAATAGGCAAAATCAACGCATCTCCCACTGTCAGCTGATCCAACGAACGCAGAATACACTCCAAAAGCTGCTGCTGGTACTTTGGCTCTCCATCATAAAGCAAAGAGAGGCTGAATGTCAGCAGTGTGGATGAGTCCAGGAACTTTGTTTCCATACTGGGCTGGCTTTCAATATCACAGAGGGATGGGAAGTCTACCACAAGGCACGTGAACTGGTGACAGCTGGAGAGATCAGACACTTCTGCCAGTATCAGTTCCCCAGGAAGCACTTCACACGACTGACACGTCTGCAGTATCTGTCTGCTCTTCGGACTCCCCCCCATCAATGCATTCAGCGCTTCATTCAGATTTTCCAAGACTTGACCATCACAGAATGGGGAACATTTTACCACTGGTAATCTTTTTCCTTCCAAAACATACCACAAGCTACACTCAAGGTCAGAAGACAATCCTTCCAAGACACATATTTTCCCAGCATTATTTAAACTATGCTCTTCAGCCCAGTGATTAAAATAGCCCTTTGCCACTTTATCATTCCACGTGAGGGTTTCCAACATCCTCCTTTCATTGTATGTACTAAAATATTTGTTTCTTTGCCCAAACCATTTTGTATTCATGCTGCAACCAGTCCGAGATTTCCTGACAAGCCAGTTCTTTCTGGCAATGGGTTTCAGACAAAGTCTCTGCATGAAGAACTCCACTGCACAATCTCTTAACTTGTTCAGCTTTGTCTGCTCCGCTTCTCCCATGCACTCAAAGAGACGGATGTTCTGAGAGATAGTTTCTACCTGGCACTTGTGGAAGAACATGCAACACTCTTCATGTAGTTTAAGAAAAGATTCTGGTAGCATGTGCTGGGGAAAAAGTGCTTTGTTGACCATTTCTGTTCCAAAGTTCTGTATCATCTTAGAAAGCAGTGGATGGATGCTCTCTCTGCCCATGTAACGAAGACAAATCACATAGGCCTCTGAGTTGCCAGCTTTGCTAGTGGCTGGCTTAAAGACATGGACCTCCTCAAAAGAGCAGTTTAGCAGAAAGAGCAGATTGGTAGAACAGTGTTCAAACAGCGTGAACATCTTCAAAACAAAGGACCCTCCAGTGCCCAGGATCATTAAAGCACTGACTGTTTCACAGTAATGAAGGGGTGAGACAAGAGCCTCCTGTTCTCCCGGATTCCCCTGGCAATCAAAGCTGCCATCAGCAGTTACCAAGTGAACTGTGGACATATTACTTACAAAGTTCTGAAGTCCTGTTAGGTGTTTCAGTGTCATCACGTCACCGGTGTTATCCGGGCCAAAGTACCACCAAGGCAAGGTATTTGCTATGAGACGGTCATCCATTATCATCATAAGGGTGTCATTGGCTTCATGATATGGATTTAGAGTGTTCGCTACCCAATTCCAGTCGCATTGGATGTGGTGGGATTTCAAGTAGTGGTTGAGGCTGGCTATAAAAGCTCCAGGTGCTTCACAGAGGTGGACAGTATTCAATTCTCTGTTCTGAAGAGCTTCTTCAGGGAGAAGAGGAAAACTGCACAGGATCTCATGGAACTTGCACCACGCCTGGGTACACAGCTCAGCATTCACCCATTTCTTCACATGAGGAATTATTTTCCCTGCTTTATTGGTAAACGAGGTGTGCTGATGCCATTCATCCAGGTTCTTATCACTGAGTTGATTCTTCACGTCATTCATGGAGTCCTTCAGAGCCAGGAGTGAGTCGAATTCCTTGTGATCGCTTGTAAAAGCATTGCTGGGATCTGGAAGCTGCCACTCATTATTCACTGGCTTAGTGTAAGTAAACTTCTTTGCGAAGAGCTTCTCAATTTCAGACAGAATTTCAGGACTGAACTTGTCAAGGTTTGTAGTCGGGTTAACGAAAGACTTCTTACATTTGTTCATTCTTGGATTGATTCAAGACCTGGAGAACAGCACAGAAGAATAAACAATGTCATGCCAGTCACACATGTATGTAAATAGGCAAAGTTGTTCTTAAACAATAAAGATCTCTCCTGCTTAACCTCTATATTGCAGAATATGAGAAACTCTTCACAGAATCGTGTACCGGTGAAGAAAATAAATGAGGGTTCTCCTGAATGAGGCTATCTGGAGATCAGGAGATTCACGGGTTCAATCACCCTTCATGCTATTTACATAGCAAGAAGAAGAGTTAGCTGCTGCTTTGGCTCTTCACTGACCTCTGAATGCTCTGCTCGCTCTGTAGGTCTGAACACTTAAATACAAGTAGCTCAGTCACAAAAGAGACCATACCACAAGCCATATAAATTAAACAAGTGCCCAAAAAATCTTTTCATCTGATTATGGCAGTATTTATCCAGGAGTTCAAAGTAAGGAGACCAGAGAGCCACAAGGCAAGGGAGCTTGGAAAGGGAGCCCAGCTTCTCCTCCTCTTTACCAACAACTATCCCTCATACCTCTTCCACAAAACCCAGCGTGATGCAGAGTAAGCCCCTCACCAGCACCCAGGCCCTTTGCTTAGGAGACCCTGGTGAGAGGTTGAACCCCAGCCTGCAAGCAAAACCCTGTTTCTGTGCTCAGCAGTACAGCAAATCCTTATGCCTTACTTTCCCTAATGGAAAACCAGCAATAAATCCAAAGCAAGAAGAGACTTCATTGCACCCACAGTCAATCTTAAGTCATGCTTTGTATTAAAGGAGGAAGTAGTGTGCTTTGAGCGAATACACACAGGTATCAGAAGCATACTCTGCACAAAGCTATGGAGCTCTGTAGCCATCTGCTCCAGCACACAAGCAGAAGTTAGGTTCACTAACCAGAAATCTGCCTGCAATCTATCCAAAACTGAGATGCTCATTTAAGCAAAACAATTTAATCAAAATTACCACAAGAGACGGGATCATGGAATTGTTTAGGATGAAGACCTTTGAGACCACAGAGTCCAACAGTTACACTGGAATTCTTTGTTTTCTGGTACTTTTATTACGGACTTTTCAAGCAGCTTCAAATGGTCTTAACAGAAAGCAAACACTCAAGGGAAGCCACACAATAATAGAGCAACTTTTCTACAGACACCAACTTCTATCACATGTAGTTACAAGGTGCTCAAGACACCACCAAAACTCAGGAATCATCCTCCTCACCAGACACAATGACAGAGAACTGCCTGTCAGGACTTAACAGAGCTGATTGTGTTTACTTCTACATCATTTTACAACCTACAAAGGTGTAAGCCTCCCACAACAGAAAATACAACCACCTGCTCCTTTGTGGGGCTGACACTGGGAAATCCCTCAGCATATTATTTTAACCACCCCTCTGCCCCGGAAGCAAATAACAATCTGCAGTGTTATTCAGTGTAATAGAATCCTGGACTGAAATTGAAACAGTTGAGAAACTTCGGAAGTAAACAGAACAAACAATAGTCAACTGAAACACTTTTCCACTTGAAACTATTTAGTATCTCACCCAGCGTCCACAGGGCCACAACAGCTCATCTCATAAGCACCAGCTCTCTGACGGCTGAAGTTTCATCTCCATTTTCCACAATTCTAACGACTTTCAATGAGCATACTTGGTTTCACTTTCCTTTACAGATACTCTGCAGCTTTAATCTCATCCCTTCTCACAGTCTCTGCTGGGGAGAAGAGGAAAGCTGAGGGAAACACTTAAGACTGCTGTGCCCTAAACCAGTTTTAAGTCGTTTTAAACAAGATCCCAGAGCTCTCACACCAGCAAACCCCGTGAAGAAGCCATCACCCGAAGCACGACAAGGAGAACGCAACCGCCTGGTGTTTCTGGTTTACAGCTATTTCAGTCCCCACCGCCTGACTCGAGCCGCTGAAGGGCGCTTCCGGGCTCTTCCCGCCCCGCAGCTCCCCACACATTCCCGGGGACTGCACACCCGCTCTCGCTCGGAGCTGCCCCGCAGCCAGACCCGGCACACGCGGCGCTCGCAGGGCCTCGGAGAAACACCCCCTCCCGAGCCAGCCGCCGCGGCCCAGCCGCCTGCCGCCGCCCCAGCCTCTCGCACAGCTGCAGCCGACCGAGGCGCCTCCCTGCGCCGCGAGCCCTCTACGCGAGCCCGCGGCTCCCGCGCCGTGCCGCTGAGCCGCAGCTCTTACCCGGCGGAAAACAAGGCAGGCCCGGCCTCCCCGCCCTGCCCCGCCTCCAGACCCTCGCCTTAGCGGGGCGCCGGAGGGGGGTCTCGCGTAGGAGGAGCTGTTCAGGTCATAGGGAGCGGGTTCCGCAGGGAGGGCCTAGAGCGTTACCGCAGCAGGGCAGGAGGCGCTGCAGCCGGTTCATTCGCAGGAGCAAGGAGGCTGCTTTTGACCAGGAAACCCAGCTCACGAGAGCTGGTTCTGCGAGAAGGGAGCAGAGGAGCTGCCTGCTGCAGTAGTGCAGCCCCACAGGGACAATAAGCATTCATAGAAGTTATTCAGTTAGCACTTTTCACATGATCGTACATACATACATGATCAGGGTGCTCAGAGAAAAAGCAGGAGGAGTGCCGTCCTGCTCCAACCCTTTGGAGAGGAAGGGCTGGGGCGCAGGGTCCTGCATCCTTTTGCCTGCAGACTTGGGACATGAGTCCTGCAGAGCCAGACGCAGCTGACCTGGGAGCAGGGCCAGGGCAAAGCGCCATCCTCGCCCAGCACTGCAGATGCCACATCTCGTACACACTCCCTAGGCCAGCTTTCGTCTCTGGAGGCATCAGTGATGCGCCTCCAGAATTTGCTTTGGTCTCTCCAACCCACAAGCAGACACTTCAAAAGTCTCTTGCATGTGATAACCCTTTCTAAATCCCCAGGAGACTCATTACACCCAGCTTGGCTTGGCAGGAGACAAGAGCCTTGAAATACAGAGCAGTAATGAGTGGCATCAAGTGAGCATTGCAGCACCCCTGGAAACACACTTTCTAGACAGCAAAACAGTATCTAATCTGCAAACAGGGGCAGGAAGGTCAAAGCAGATTAATTATTACAGCAGACAGAAGGTGGGGGCTGCTACTGAGATTTTAAACATTGCAGGGATTTTCCTGTGCATAGGTTAGAGAATGAGGCACTTGCCAGCCCTTTTGGAAACAAACAGCCAGCAATACAGCATGAGTTAGCATAAATCCTTTCACTTCAGTGCCAGGCTTTCTGCTATGGACTTCTGTACTCTCACATATTTCTTCTTGATGATGCTCATCCAGCCCTAAATCCAGAATAGCCTTAGCATAAAAATTCATTGCCATGAGTACAAGGGAGGCCCAAACTGACATAACAAGGGGAATATTTTCTAGAAGCTCAGTAATTGGTAAAGAAATCTTTTCCATCTTAAGGACATAATAAGAGATAGGTAAATGACCTTTTCGCCTGTTGTAGGTAGAGAATTCATAAGTTAAAGTCTTAACTGAGAATGTAAAAGGACAAGTTCCCACACACACGCTTTTAAGCTACTTGCTTGTTTTCTCAAATGAAGCAGTTACTGCTACAAAATAGAGCCTTAAACAGAAAAAACCTAGTTCTGTGAATGAATACAGGACTAAAACTTTTAAAATCCCCTAGGGGGTGATATTTTTAAAGTTCAAATTGCTATACTCACCCTGTTTAACATTACAAAAAAGATACTGGCTATCTCATAGCAAATTTTACCTGTGGAGGGAAGTTTTACGTGGAGCTCTTTAGTGCCTCTTCACCCTTGGATGGGCCTGTTTGAAAATCACCTCCCAGTCAATCAATATCTTTGGCTATTTAAGGGTGGGAGGCAGAGTTGGGACAAATTAGTTAAAGCAGCTGAGCAGTCTGTGGATAGCTGAGGGTGTTGAGGGTTTTCAGTGCATGATGTGGTCTCTTTGATTCTACTGGGTGTGCAGTACTTGTATTGCTAAAATGTTTAGCTTAAGAGGATTTGAAGCTAATGTGTATTTCATTATGTAATGATTGCTTTTTGTCTTTGTAGTAAAAGCCTGGCCGCAACTTTCATTTACTTCTGGCTCTCTGGTATCTCCAGTCATGCTCTGGTGTTTCAATTACTTTTCTTATTCCTGCTACACAGCAGTTGGAAAACTTGTACTGAGTCCTGTGGAAAACAGGTTATTTACACCATTGAGTTTAAGAGATGGATTTTTGTAATCTCCTCTTAAACATGTAATTCACCTTTTTATGTGCTGTTGGGTTCTTAAGTGTTTGGTTATTACCAATAAGGGAGCAACAACAATTAAGCATGTAGGGGAAAGCTGTATGTAAGGAATACTCTTACCTTAGCACTACTCTGCTAGGCTTTTACTATAGCTTATAGCTTCTCAGTGTCACAGTCTTCTGCGTTACTGAAGATAAGGCTTTCCCAAAATACAGGGGAGAAAAACCCATCACTGGGCATGCAACACTACAAGATTCCTAGCTAAAATAAAGGTAATCTAATAGCAGGCTTCAGAAAAACAATATTTTTTCTGAAATTAAACCATCAACTCAGCTTGTGAGCTTCAGTTTCCTCCTTGATTTTCCTAAATCTTCAAGTTAAAGCAGAAGTCCAAGTAGATACGTCAAAAAGCTAGTTATTGTCTTTTCTGTCAGTATGAGACACTCAAAATGGGAGCACAGCACTTTCTTCCTGGATTAGTCCTGCTTTTGTGGAACTAATCTGTCAGTTGATAGAAGGCTGATCTTTTCCCTTGCAGATCATGACACATGAGCACAGCTGTGGCATTATAAGCCTCAAACAGAAGCATCTGTCTTTAGAGGAGCATTGTGCAGGTAAACATTGGAAGCTAAACATCTAATTAAGAGCAAAGTAATCTCTTTCAGGCCTCTGACTTTTTTTTTTTTGTAGTTAAAATAGCAGAATGCATATGTAGTATAAACATGCTGTGTGATGGAGCTGTGGAGTTGCTGGTGTGTGCAGGAGCTCTTTTCATCATACTGGCTATGCAGGAAGTCTGCTGGGAGGACTGTGCTGAGCCCTGGAAGAATTCTGTGTAGAATTCATAGTTTCTACAAGGCTACAATCTGCGCTTCTCACCCTGCTTCTAAAGATAAACCCCCAAAATGTGTAATTTTGCATCAGATCTCACCATAATTTTTGTTATCATTGTGCAGGATGCAAGAAATTAATATTGGTCTCCTAAAGACAGGCAGGTAACAGCCTTTTTTACTTTTTGTGAAAGTGCAGCTGGAGTGCCAAGGGTAAAGGAGGCATTTAGAGATTTACAGAGGTTCTCTTATAGTTTTTCTACAGGGATTTGCAAAGGCCCATCACAAATCCCACCTTGCTTCAGCCTTCTTGAGATCTAGAGGGTCTTGCTGCACACTTACCGATCTGGCTGGCTATGCCAGCATGTTTCTAAAGCTCATTAGAGGCAGCTCTAGAAGAATACTCTGAATTGAAACTGAAAGGCCACCAAGGAGCTTCCGTGTTGGGGTTAAGTTACGATCTGGGTAACCTGAGTCTGTGCCAGGAGGAGGCAGACGTCTGAATGGGACAGTGAAGTTAATGTTGCTGGTTTGCCTAGAATGAGTTGCATAGATAGCTGAGCCCTCTCCTGCAATGGAGAGGGAGTACTATTATGGAGCCATTGCTGTCTCACATCCTTTGGCCCCCATCAGGGGCTGTGTCTCACGTTTTATATGCATCTCAGCTGTATCAAGAAACGTGTATGTGGTGCATGATACTGGGAGGGCCAGTTGTCCTTAATGCAGTAGCTTTGTGTGACTCTAGGGACCAGTCCATAAGGACTGTTGTTCTGCTTCTGACTTACTGTCCAAAGTCAGGCAGGCTTGCCTTTCCCTTTCCTCACTGGAGGAATTGAAGCCAGTCTGTTACAGTGAAAGTGAGTTGTGAGACTTCAGTAAACAATTTCTAATGTAGGCAACTAGGACAATGATCTGCAGGTGTCTAATTGTTGCTTCTCAAAGCAAAAATCACTAAAATGGAAATGAAAAGGAAACTGTATAAGCTATTCAGTACTGGAGCATTATTGCACCAGAAATGGGATAATGAGGCAGTATTGATCCTATAGGAACAGCATAAATACACCACGATGGATCATGGCTACAAGTGACAGTTTGTTCACCTCCAGGAGGCAGTGCTCTCCAAAAAGGGGATCTGGGGGTATGGGAAAATGGTCCTGGAGGCAGGTGAAAAGTCTGGCCTCAAGCTCCACTGCGTGAAAGGTATCTTAGAATGTCTCTGCTCTTTTCCTAATCACTGTGGTATCATTTGTTCACAGATGTAGTCAGGTTCCTTTCTCTTTCTGCCCAAGTCTTACAAAGGTGGGAAGTCATTACAGAGGTGGCATACAATTTGTGAATGCTAGGTCTACTTCCCTGCCAGTGAACCTGAGGCATTCCTTTACTTGAACTGATCTCCACCCTAAAAGCCTTTTTCCCTACTGCCTTTATGGGAGGGCTTTTCAGGATTGCGCGTTTTGGGTACTTGGAAGCTTTTTTATGGTATCTAGCTTGCATGAGAACCCATCTCCCAAATTCTCTGGTGCCTGTCTTAAGTTTCTGTATTTCTCCTGCCTCCATGGGAATATTTTCAGGCTGTCATTGGAGCATAGCTTAGTTTTCATTTTCCTCAGCTAACCATGACAATTTTTTTTAATATCTTGTTTTGTGTTTCTTGGTCATTCTTTCTCTGCATTCACTGTGGTCAGAGGTCTCTTTCCTGCAGCTGTGTTACAAGCAGCACTTGCATCACTTCAGGTAGATATTCCCAAAGATACCTCTTTCTCTGCATTCACTGTGGTCAGAGGTCTCTTTCCTGCAGCTGTGTTACAAGCAGCACTTGCATCACTTCAGGTAGATATTCCCAAAGATACCTATTAAAGCAGTCTCTGGGAAGTGACTTCTGACGTATAATTTTATTTTATTTATCTAGCAACACTCCTGTAGCTATTAAAGATAAGTTTCCAAATTGCTGTGAAAATCCTGATGTGTCTTTAGAGTGTGTTCAGTAATTAAATCAAACCTTGAACCTGCACTTCAGGCAATCAGCAGAAAAGCAAAACCTTCCTCCAAAACAGGGGCAGAATCTTAGCTTGTCTAAGTAGGAGAGAATTTGGGGAGGTGCCACCAGACAGAGGTGGTGAGTACTGCACCCGTGAGGACATGGTGATACCTGTAGGAGTTTGGGGGCATGCTTTCTCCTGTACTAGGCTGAATTGAATTGTGTAGACACCCTGTTAATCTCTCTGCAGCTGTTCCCTTTCCCAACAGGGTGATGTGCAGTACGTGTGAAAAGACTACAAGATAATTTGATGCTGTAATAATGTGAGCACACAGGGAAGTGGAAGGCTTAACCTAAATCATTAATTGTGTTGATGAAATGCTTGCAAAATACTTCATCACACTTGAGACAGAAATAGCTGTAAGAATGTAAAATGTTGTTATAAAAGTTTTTCAAGTGATTGTATCTGCATCCTGTAGCAGTTGAAGTTCTAGCTGTAGAAACATGATTTGAATGACACCCAAGTCAATAAGAGCAGGTTTATAGATAAGTTTGCTGCAGACATACAGACAGTAAGAGGTGACTGAGTTTGTTTCAGGATGGAATACTGTCAGTGCTGTTTCTTAAGGATTATGCGATCTATTTGGTAACTTACTTGTTTTGCTAGATCTGCTTTGTGGAGTACTCTCCACAGTATTACTGGTATGAATGCCCTCAGTGCTCAAATTAGTCTTTCTAGTAGGAGCCTTTATCTAGTACTTGTGCAGCCAGTGCAGCACTGCAGGTTAGAACTCAAGTAACTTTTGTTGCTGATAAATAACAGACACTGCAGAAAGATAGATAAAATGGTCCCTTTTTGGTAATCCTGTTTTCTGTGTAAATCCAAACTAGGGAGGAGATTGTCTGAGGTGAGAACAAATAGGGAAGAGCTTGCAGACTGTCTGATCTCTCCTGTCTGCTTTGCAAAAAAAGAATCAGATTAATGAATGTAATCAGATTAAGGCTAAACAAGGGAACATATCTGGGGGGGCTTTAGAACTCTGCTGATACCAAAGAACTGTATGGAAAAATCAGTGTTAAGGGCCTAACATTGCTCTATCATTTAGTTTAATGGCTTTCAAAGAAGTCCTGAGTGCTGGCAAGAGGGGCATGCTTTTCCAGAGGGCAGAAAGCCTTGAGGGAGCTGGGAAGTGGTTCTGAGACCCTGGCTTTAAGCAGGTGTTGCTTGGGGTGACAGCAACTTTGGCAGATTGGCTCATGTAGAAAGAGGTGTGGGGCATCTTTGGACACAGGATTTGATGCAGTTAAATCTACCCTAAACATCTCTCAGCCTGCTGTGTTTTCTATAGAAAGATGATGCTGAAGGAAAAGGAGGATGTTCATGTAGCAGCAGGCAGAGATGGACATGAGTAAGGTTCAGAAAGACAGGAATGAGAGAATGATAAAAAAGGGGTATATCTGAAAAAGAAGGGGAAACGTGGTAGAAACGGAATGAGAGAGAAGGCATAGAAGGGAAAATGATTCATAGAGCAGTAGCAGACCCTCTGATTTTCACTGCCCTCAGCAAACTGAAAGCAAAATGCACCGTGCCAGAGCAGCAGTGTACCACTGGTTCCTGCAGTGGCAGCGCTCCTACCTGCTGATCTTTGTGGAAAAGGCATTGTAAGTTTTCCAAGAGAAAGTAAATAAGAAGTGGAAATGCAAACATGAGGGGGAAAGGGAGAAGCTCAACAACTTGATGGGAAAGTACACTTAAGGTTTCTGTTTAAATCCAATTTCTCTTTGGTGCCAGTTTTATCTTTCAGCAAATACCTGTGGTAAGCAGAATTTGATGTTTAAATCCTGATGGTTACCACCAGTGCTGGCATTGAGAGGTTCCTCAATGTGTGGATTTTTGGTTTCCAATATGAAGTATATCTCTCAAAATATCCAGGTGTTTCTTGCTGCATTTATTGCCTTGTTTATATTTTAAGTTCTCTGAGAGAGTTTTCTGGGGCAGCCAATTGATGGAACTGTAGTGACAGGACAAGGGGTAATGGGTTAAAACTTAAACAGGGGAAGTTTAGATTGGATGTAAGGAGGAAATTCTTTCCTGTGAGGGTGGTGAGGCACTGAATGGGTTGCTTAGGGAGGTTGTGAATGCTCCATCCCTGGCAGTGTTCAAGGCCAGGTTGGATGAGGCCTTGGGTGATATGGTTTAGTGTGAGGTGTCCCTGCCCATGGGAGGGGGGTTGAAACTTGATGATCTTAAGGTCCTTTCCAACCCTAACTATTCTATGATTCTATGTTTGATGTGGTCTTAAAAACTAACAATCAAGCATGAATGAAAGTAATAAATATTGAGATGTGAAACTGGTGCTGCCTGATGTTGTAATTATTTTTGTTTTCAATGTCTAGCTGATTTGCCCTAAGAATTGTCAAGTTCTAATTGAGGTTTGCTTGCTGCTTGGGTTGTCTATAAGTTCTAGCCCCATGTATCCCTTCTGCATCTAGTAAGCTGTTAGTGCAATATGTAGCTGTAGCCTTTTACCTGGGGCATGTAAGGTCTGTTTACTCGTCACTGATTTTCTTGAAATCATTTTGGCATTGATTGTCTTGGAAACATCTGTGGCTGTGTAAAATGTGCTTCACATCAGCTGTCAGGATCAGTTGCTGTTGCGCAGACAGACCCATATGACAAGGGTGTTTCCAGTTTTGTTTCCATAGGAAATAATGTGAGAACAAGAGAGGCAGATAGTGGGGCCCCTGATATTTTTTTTCCTGTCCTCCATAATGCAATCAGCTGAACAAAGGTTTAGCATATCTCATTACAGTATTTTCTTTTGTGATGGGTCAGGCAAATAAATGTGAGGGAGGGGGAACCAAATGGGGGAAGCTAATAGGACATTACCTCTCGTTACCGTGAAAGAATGGGAAGATGTGAGCTATGGAAGTGTCTCAGTGCAGTAGTAGCAGGTACAGGTTATCAGGCAGAGCTCTCACCGTACTCCCAGAGGTTTGACTTGCAAAGGAGCAGGTGACTCCCTTTACAGGCTGGTTCCTCGTTGATGCAAGCATGTTCTAATCTATGCAGATCCACCGTCAGCTGCTCCTCTCTGGGTGGCTGCTGGAAAAGTTGTGTGTGCACACATGTGAACTTTTCAGACTTAATCTGCATTATAAAGCGTGTGTGTGTGTAAGCTTTCTGCAGAGCTCTGGAACATACGTGTCATGAGCAGTGAAACCGGAAAAGCAGATGTCCTGAACATGCCCCTCCTACCCGGGGATTAGGGATGCTCAGGGTAAAGCAGGGAGAAGCTGGGACACACCTCACCACCAGAGACAGCAGCAGTTTGTGCAGGTTCAACAGGCTTCTGCTCTTTGGTCAAATAAACCCCTGCAGCTCTAGTTCCAGCAACTACCCCCTTCTTTTGGTTAACCAGGGAGGAGGAGGATGGCCTATGCTGAGGAAGACAGGTAAGGTGCTGTGAAACAGGGGATGCAGACATCCAAGCTGGAAGGGGCTGATGAAATCACATTGCTTTTTCTTGCCTTGTTTTCCTCTTCTTCCTACTGGGCACTCAATAAATGTCAGACAAGGCTGCTCAGAAGTAAACATCTTATTACTGAGGAGGAGCCTGGCTGTCTGCCTGTGTCAGGTGCTAGTATTATGCAATACAGCGCAGAGCAGGTGACTCTGGGAGAGGTTATGGCCCAGAAGAGGTGAATGTGGTGGTGTGGAGAGACATACAGTGCACATATGTATGGTGGTGTGCCCCTCTGAAACATAATGCTTGCTTTCTTTGTTTGGATATGTCTGCTTTCTACATGGATTTGCTTTCAGCCATCCTGGAAGCATAATGAGGGTGGGGTTTTATATGCCATAAAAGATCTGTCATTGCTGACAGTCCTGTGTTTTGCAGCAGATGTGTTTCTGCAGTGGATGACAGCAATCACAATAAAGGGGATTGTGTTTTCAGCTCATCCTGTGATTTAATCCAAACTGAGCACTGTTATTAGGTGTGCATTGTTGGAAACGGAGGAGCTATAGGGGGCTTTGTGCTACATGTATTAATCCAGGCTGCCAAAAAGCTTGCATAAATCTCAGGTTCTTGCAGTTCCAGGCTAAACATTGCATTTGATGACTCACAGGTCAAACTTCCACTCTGTTCCCCTAGAGCAGCAGGTATCTCTTCACATTCAGGAATTATCTGTGCCTGCCAGTTCTTTTGGTGCTGTGCATCTGGAAGATTTCTGAAACCTAAACAGTGCAAGCAGGGCACTGCAGATGAATTTTGACATCACTGTGCTCTCAGCACTGATGTACCCAAAGTTTCTGGGATGGAGAGGGCTCTGCAAGGCCCCTGCCTGCCTGCTGAAGCTCCTTTCAGGCAGGGAGAGTGACACAGAGATGCAATTCTACTGCTTTGGTTAAGAGATATTTTAACATCATCTGTTTAGAAGGGAAAGATATTTCTCTGAAACCTGGCACAGCTCAGTCAATCCCAATGTCTTCAGCAGGCATTGAATGGGATTCACCCCACACTTCTAAAATTTCTGGGGATACAGGAATAATATCTCTTCTTTAATGTTATTTTGCAAAGGTGTATGCACCTTAAAAAATACTGATCAAGAGGAAGAGCAGATCCTGGTGACCTCCTTCAGTTCTCATGCCTGCTGCAGTTACATCAAAGCTCAGATGTTACATTTAAATTCTCTTGGTTCCCTCTAATTTCTAAGTAAGGCTGAAAGTTATTCAGCAGTGAAATTGGTGGGAATCATTCACTAATGTATGTAAAGCTCTTTTAGAGCTTTTATCTGGGAGGAAGGGATAATATAGTCAGTTAAGTGCAGGCTGCACTAATGTCACTTCCGTCGCTTTTGCTTATTTCAGGAGCTGCTCATACACTTATGCTAAATAAACTTCCTCATTTCCAGGCTTTTCTTTTGACAAGTATTTCAGCTAAGTGTGACTCTTCATTTTGTGATGCCTATGGAAGGTATTTCTTCTCGCTGGATTGCAGGTTTATGACATACTCAGGTATTTTTAATATTGTAGTTTGTAACAGGAAGCACACGTTTGATGTATCAGGCATTGGAAAGGCTTTACAGCAGGAGATGGACAGCTAGGAGATGAAAAAACACTTAGCTAGAAGATGCCTGTGCAATAACTACCTGCCTTGTCAGTATAAAGAAATTAAAACGAGTAGAATTGAGGTCCTTTATTTGAATAGCTGATATATCGGTCAGAGGAACCAGCAACACATTCACAGTCAGATCCCCTCCATCAGTGGTCTGAGACCTCCTGGGGTGTGGAGCAGCACTTTGACAGCTTTCCTGTAGGTGTTGTAGGGCTGCAAACAGCAGAATTGCAACATGACGAAGGTTTGCACCTCTGGAAACAAACTTGATTCCAAAAATAAGAAAGTCACTCATGAAGTGACAGTTTGTCAGCATCTCCAGTCAATTTTACATTACCTTCAGCCTTGAAGTATCTGATTTTCTTAATAAACAGGTCAGGTTTTTGTACAGAGAAAATGCTGCCCCTACCTGTGTTGGTTCACTCAGTCATGAATTCTGCTCATCAGGGGTAATGACTGAGTCACTAACAAGAAATGCTGTCACTGCCCTTGCTTTTGAGGAGAGTTTGCAATCAAGCTTGGTGTTGCCCTTTGGAAAGTATCTATGTTTTTCTGTTGGAAACAGGATTATGGGATTATTCTGCTATTGACTGTGTCTCAAAACTGATTAATGTATCTGATGCATACTGGACTGACAGGCCTAAAAATTGAGGTTGTCTCCCTTGGCTGTGCAATGCCAACTTCTATCCTGCTTTCTAGATGTGTGCCTCAGTGCTGGGAAAGACAATTTTTTTGCCAAGGTGTTTGAGCAGTCCCCCTCTTAAATCAGACAACATAAGCCCAGGAGCACAAATTCCTGGTTTTCACTTGTGTTGACATAAGCTGATCTCATTGAGCCTCTTGACAAAGATCAGACTGTGGGTGTGATCCATCACCCACCCTGTGGGAGCAGATGAATCAAATCTGTTCAGCCTTCTGTACTGAAACCACAAGGGTTTGAGAAGGTGAACATTTGATATGTGGTACCAGCCCAGAAAGAAACCACTATAGGATGAAATCAGTAAAGAGGATTCAAATGCTTGCCTGTGTTCAGGAGTAAAATGTGAGATTAAAAGTGAAACCTCTTCAGTGATAGCAATGAAGCCCCTATTATTTTATTCTTAGTGAAACTTCTTTTTCTTTGCACCTTTCTAGGACTCTTATCCTTTGAAGCTTGTTCTTAGGATGGGTTGATAGACTCACTGACCTGTTCTCCTTCTGCAGAAATAGCTATGAGGTGTGTAAGGAAACAGCAGATTGGTTGCGTGCCCGCACTGCCCAGTGCCCAAAGACTGCCATCATCTGTGGATCTGGACTGGGAGGCCTGGCTGATGTGTTGGATAACAAGACAGTCTTTCTGTATGAGGAGATCCCTCACTTCCCACAGAGCACAGGTTAGTACATTCCAGGGCATCAGAATCCCATGCATCAGGAGCCTGCAACAGCCTTACAGAAAGATTAGTCAACATGCACCACTTGGCATTGGTCTGCGAACCAGTCTCTGGTGAAATGTGTGTTCACAGTAAAAAAATAAATTAAAATACCTATTTCTGTGTTATGATATTTAGTTGACTTTCAGCTCTTAGCCCTGCTGTAATGCATAATCGTCAACTGACAAATGCTTCTAAAGTCAAAGACCTTGAGACCTGTAACTGAAATGGCAATATTAATCCCCAGTTGCAGGGCATCTTGGCAGATTGGTGTTTGGGGAGCTGAATGGACAGCCCTGCGTGTGTATGCAAGGACGTTTCCACTGTTACGAAGGGTACTCTGTCAGCATGGTGAGTTCTCCTTGAAATCATCCACACAGGGGGAGGTGTGCTGTACAAGATGCAAAAGGGACTGCTTGCTTTGATATCTAGCTGCAGGAGGTTACCTCGTGCAATAAACTTACATTGCTCTTGTAATTGTGCTTAGGTTTGAGATTTCTTCCCCCCAAAAAATCAAACCAAGAGGTAGGCAGCTTCTGCTAGGTGAAGCTGATGTGCAGCCATGCAGAGTGGCTAGCCCTGCTATACTTTAGGGGAAAATGGTATATCGGACAAGGCAGATTAATATACACAATAATCTTGTTTTACTGGCTGATAGTTTTGTTTGTTGTTCTATTTTGGTAGCTTTGAGATTTTACTTGTGCCTGAAGTCAGTTTGCATTCAGATCTAAACTGTAATACTTGTCACTGCTCAGCTTCTTGTGAGTTTAAATGCACTTGACACAAAACTGGACATGTTTGTCTATTAAAATTAACTCATTTCTTAAAGAAGAGATGTCCATAGTTAGGAAATATTTCTGCTCACAGCTCCGTTAACATTTCAGAGGTAGCAGATACCCTGATTCCTTCTTGATTCCTTGAAATCAAACTTCTCCTTTTTTTTCCAGTTCCCAATTGTTTCTTAATTTTGGATAAGCATTTTATTCACTCACATGAATAAAATGAAATTAATAAAAACTTTATGGTCCTGTAAAATGGCATCAGTGCTGTAAAAAGCTGGTTTATCAATTACACTCAAAGTATTAAGCTGTAGTGTTGAGTTTAACCACTTATGCACAAGTCCATGTGCATAAGTAGTTACTTCAGTCAGCACAGAGGATTGATTTCTCAAGACCTTGGCAGCAAGGAAAAACTATCTGCATGTTAAGGTTTCATTTTGGTTTGGTTTTTCGTGTGATGTTTATTTGACCGTAATGAAACTGTAGGAAATACGGGCTTGAATTTTAATGGTTTTCATTTAAAAATCAGGTTTTAGTATGTTTAAAAAACACTAAAATTCTATTAAAATTAGAGGAATATTTAAAATTGGAGAAAGTTTTGTCTTTCTGTAGCCTTATGTAGAGCCTTCTCTGCATTATGAATGCTCTCCAGAACTTGTGATAATGCTGATGTAGCAGTAGCTATCTAGTAATTGTGATACTCATGGCATATATGCCTCTGGCTCTTGCAGGTTACTTTTCCCATCAGGGTCTTGTTTCTCCTGGGGGTGGAGATCTTGATTGTCACAAACGCTGCTGGGGGACTGAATCCCAACTTCCAAGTGGGGGATATCATGTTCATTAGAGATCACATCAGCATGTTTGGCTTGGGAGGACAGAATCCACTGCGTGGGCCAAATGATGAGAGGTAAGAAGGCATCAGCTCTGCTACCAACTAATCCTTTCTTCATCTGGCTGCAGGCTATGACTGCCAGCTGTGCCTGCTGGCAAGTGTTTACTGAGAGGTAGAGTGTGGCTCCAGGTATACACAAGGGAAAAGTTAAAGCAAAAGCAGTAGGTTTGTGTGCTGTGTCACCTCCCCTGCCTTCCCCATGCACCCTTCCTTGCTGTTGCTTACTCTTGCAGCCTCTAAGGAATTTATAAGCAAGCCTCCAGAAGGTTTTGGTTTACGGAAGAAAGCTTGTGATCCCTCTCCTGACATGGCCAGCCTTACCATCTGCTGTAGAGACCTGCTTCTGTCTCTTCTTGTCAATCCCTCTTTGTGCTAATTCCTCATAATTGAGCAGTCTGAACTGCAGTCTCCAGCCTGCATTTATCAACAGCCATTTCTGGTGTGATGGAACTGATACAAGAAAGGCCAGGCAGTAAGCTGATCTCAGAGCAAAGATAAAAATTCTGAACATCCTGATAACCACCTTTGTAGGGAGGTCATTAAACTGGGGTGCCTTTGTTAACATATATTCACAAGGCATCAGTCTGAGGGGCAATTGTCTTGTCAGCTTTGTAAGAGACCTCTAGATCTGAGATTGCCCTGCTGCTGGTTCAGCTGGGAAATCAGGTTTCCTATAGTAGCTGTGTAGGAGGATCTTTACCCTATGGATGGGGCACAGAGGGTCTTGTGACACATCCTCACCCCTGGACTGCTGTTGCCACCAGAAAAGTTGCTTAGAGAAGAAGATTGGACTAGATGACCTTGAGGTCTTTGCCAGAATTACTCTATTATCCTAAAATGTCTTTCAAAGGCACCTTTCAGACTGGTAGGGTGGAAGGCAAACAGTACCCTCAAGGCCATAGCAGTGTGGGGGGACAGATGGACCAGTGTTTACAAAAAGAAGGCCCTTGGCACTCTAATGGGGCTAAAAAGAGCATGAGGATGCATCCACTGGAGACTCAGGCTGAGGAAAGGAGAGTGCATCAAATGTCAGGGAAGTCAAAATGTAAGCAGTAAAGATCCAAGGCTGTCAAGAGCCTTACGGAAGGAAAGAAAGAGGTTGGACTGTGAAAAGGTGGTAAGAATAGCAAGATTATTTCCTAACAAGCTGGCAGGAGAGAAGCCAGATGGAAGCCAGGTGTGTGAAGTCAGAGAATGGGTGAAGGAGGTGGTAGTTTATGAGAAAAGAGTGAATTTAAATAACAGCATGGTTAAATCTGTTACTGGGTTGCTGCCTTCATTTGTAAAAAGAACGTATTTGCAGGACAGGCATCTGGACCTTCCTGGGTTTTTCCAAGAAGTTCTGTCCAAGAACAAGGTGGTCTGCTTAGCTTTGTTTTACAATCAGTTCCTCCTGGATGTAATGCCAGAGCTGGTTCCTATTTCTGAAGAAATAGGAAAGGTGCTAGCAACTGCCTCAGAGATAAACACTGTTCTGTGATTCAGATGTCAAGAGAGCAGTACCCATCTGAAGAGGGTCATCTTTACATCTTCATAGGTATTGGTGTGGTTTGAAGGAAAAAATGATAAAAAGCACAGAGGCCACATGGAGGTGTTTTTAAAGCTGTCTGGACTTGCATAATTGCTGTGGAACAGGGGTAGAAATACCAATCAATTGCACCTGGACAGACAGCATTCAAAGGAAGCGTAGCTGTGGTATTGCCTCTCCAAAGCAGCCTCCTGGTGAAGACTGCAGTGCTCTGGAAGGTGACTTTTGTCCTGCTGACCAAAATAGGCAAAAGGTCTTTGTGAATCAGCTTTCAAAGTATTGCAGAGCTTTAGCAGAGCAAGCTTCTCCTAAAATCCAGTCCAGCTCAGCTACTAGGAAGGGTTTAAGCACAACAGAGTAAAATCAGACACAATATGAAGTGGAAAGCGAATGTACTGCAAGAATCTGAGGACTGACTTTAATGAGTTGGAGATTGGCTTCTGCATTGCTGGTCTTCCTTCAGGAAAGAGAAGCTATTTTCATGGTTATAAGTAGTTACTACCTCAGACCAAACAGGAAAGGTTTATTTTGTATATGTAATACTTAATTCATATAAATATAAAAGAAGCCACCTTACTGCCCTAAACATTCAGCTGGAAAAATATGGAAACAAGCAGGAGATTTAATAGCCCTAATGAGTGACTGGTGCACTCCTATGGAACTGGGTTGGTGAACATGGCTGGGAGCTTATATTCCAGATTTCCTCAGGAGCAGCATGTCAGTCTTTGCCATCTACTTCTGCTCTCCTTGCGTCAACTGTAGGATTCACTCAGTCAGGAGCAGAACTGAGCTGTCATCTAAAGACCCAAAGGAAACAAAAGACCCAGCCTTGAAGCACAGGATGGAGACTACCTAAAATGTGGCTTTGGAGCTCCAACATGTACTTCTCTTTCTATTTCCTTACAAGGGATGACACTCCAAATGGGGTGCTGTAGTCTAAACACAGACATCTAAAACCATCTGACATTCTGCTGAGTATCAAATACCCATTCTCTGGGGCTGGCAAGTACAATGTAAGACCTACAGGATGGATGCATACTCTGGATGGGCATCTCAAATGGGCAATTTAATTGTACTTCCATCCTAAAGAAGCTTCCAAGCTTGTGCTTGATGTGATTTTTGTTATGCCAGGAATCAAATACAGAAGTGGATGCTCTTTCCTGGGATGTATTTTCTGACTATGGAACTTGGTTGATCTTCCAAAGAAAATCTTTCCTTGAAGTCGCTTTGAACTGGTCTAATGTAAACAGTAAAGGGGAAAGATCCAAATCTCATCTGATTTGTCCAGTGCATCCAATTCTTTGTTTCAAGCATACAGCTGTCAGTGTGGGGACAGGACAGCCCTTGCTGCTGTGGTATAGGGCATCCCTGCTGTGAGCCTGGTTATATATCTGCCTGCTGCCATTAGCCCTAGTTGTGTTAACTGATACTCCATCAGGCCCTGCTCAAGCCCTCTCACTGGGCTGGTTTTTGTGCCTTGGTGCTACAGGGGCCCTGTCTGCAAGCTCTTGTGCAGGAGAAGCAAAGAGCAGCATCTGTCTGATGAACAGGGTTTAAAAGCCACCATGGGCAGTTACTGGGGAGAGAGAACTAGCCATCAGGGCTCCCTGGAGATGGAAGTCTTTTGGAAGACCATTCCAGCAGAGTTGGTGCAGTAGGAAAGCAGTGCCAGACCTTCCAACAGTCATAACCTCCGCACACTGAGTGTTTCAAGTTATTAGATCTAGGAGGAATGTCATGATGGCAGAATTACCTGATGGTGAGGCTTGAATGAGAGAGATTGCATCCATGGCAGGTCTGCCCTCTACATTTCCCACTTCTCTAAAGGATGAGCATCCAGGAACTCTGATGGAGGGAAGGTAGCAGTAGCAATATCTCATGGCTGTGCCCTTTCCTGATTTGCAGGTTTGGAGTGAGGTTTCCCTGCATGTCAGATGCTTACGAACAAGACCTGCTTGGCCTGGCAATGGAGAGTGCTCAGGAGCTGGGCTTTGTGAGCTTCACTCGAGAAGGAGTGTACTGCCAGCTGGCTGGGCCCTCCTATGAAACCATTGCTGAGTGCCGTGTGCTGCAGGCACTGGGAGCAGATGCTGTAGGTAAGCGGCCTGGGCTGGGAAGGTTGGTTGGGCACATAGATTGAACAGTTCTGCTCAACACTGAGTTCCTTCAGTCTTTGACTCTTTAAGTCTCCTGAGCCCAGAGAATGAGCTCTGTGTTTCTGCTTGGTTTAGCAGTGTCTTAGTGCAGCTCTTAGGGTGGATCTGCAGAAAGCCCCTATGCTTATGACTGCCCAGGACAGGGATCCAAGCATGATGTTGCTTTATTTCCCATGCTCAGATGTCTCAACTTCAGCAGTAATGAGTGGGCCCCATCTGAAATAGTCATTTTTTATTTTTATTTTTTTTTAATCCTGATCCTGAAGATTTTAACTGTCCCCTCCCTACAAAGCAACCCTCTACAGCCTTGGAGAGATCTTGGTTCGGTGGAAATCCTGCCTCATTCTGGTCCTTTTCTCTCCTACCATAGGCATGAGCACCATCCCAGAAGTAATTGTAGCCAGGCACTGTGGCCTCCGCGTTCTTGGGATCTCCCTCATCACAAACAAGGTGGTGATGAGCTACAACAGCCAAGAGAAAGCCAACCATGAGGAAGTGCTGCGCATCTCGGTGGTCCGGGCTGAAGCCTTGCAGAAACTGGTCATATGCCTCCTTGGCAAACTGGGGGAAAGCACAAACCCTTTGTGACCTCCACCCTTCTGTCATTTGTATCCTAATGTGTGAACACTAACAAATGGTGAGACTGTTGTCTGATATTGAATAGACCTGTTGATCTTTGTACCTGTGCTTTAGCTGTTCAGGTGCAGAGGCTTGCTTTGCATTTTGCCAGACTGATCCCCTTGTTAGCAGCCAGTGACCAAAATGGCTTTCTGGAACACAAACAGAGTTGGACCTCTGGCAGATTCCCAAGCCCACATCAGCAATGAGCCCCATGGTGCTGTGAGCTCCAGCTCTAGCTCTCCCATCATTTTGCTACAGAGCTCTTTGGTGTTTCTTGCCCATTGTACTGCCTATCTCAGCACAGCAGCCTCCTTCCTTGAGTGTTTGCTCCCCCTATGTCATGGACTGGATTGAGAGCTGGTCACAAGGCTTGGTGCTGCTGGGCATGTTTTAGTAGGGCCTGATCTGAAGCCAGTGGAAGATCACAAAAAGACTGAGTTTTGGATGAGGACCTGGATAGAAGCCATGCTGCAAAGCAGGTGAAGGATGCCAGATAGGGATTCTTCTATCAGTGACTACAGCAACAGGACAAGGGGTAATATATTTACACTTAAACAGGGGAAGCTCAAGTTAGATATAAGGAAAAAAAGTTATTTACTGTGAGGGTGGTGAGGCCCTGGCACTGGTTGCCCAGAGAAGTGGTGAATACCCCATCCCTGGCAGTGTTCAAGGCCAGGCTGGACAGAGCCTTAGGTGACATGGTCTAGTGTGAGGCATCCATGCCCATGGCAGGGGATTGGAACTAGGTGATCCTTTCCAGACCAAACCATTCTATGATTCTATAATTGCAGGTGATTTTTCCAGCTTGGGAAAACACTGCATCCCCATGGGTGGGATGGTGTTTCCTTTCCATCCCAGAAGGCCTCCCCCAAAAGCCCTCTCTTTACCCTCTTTTTGGCTCTTCATGACTGGCTGTCAGAGCCTGCTGCCAGCATCCCCTCACACCTCTCTGCTCCATTTTGGGCCTTGTTGCCCCTTTTTAAAGGGGGTGAAAGCAGCATGACTTATCCACGCACCATGTAAAATTGGCCAACCTGGAAACAGGATCCAGGTCCATCTTGGCCTGGTTTTGTTCCTTCTGTTTCTGAATGCCTTGGAGACCAGCAGCATGGACCACTTGCACTGGATACCAGTTACCTTTTGTTGTCTCAAAGCAGAGATCAGTTTGATCCAGTGTTTCACCCCAGTTTTGCCCTGCTGCAGTCCCTGAAGCACCAGGTTTGTGTTGGAACACCAATTGTTTGTGGGGTTTAGTGATGTGAGATTACAGTGGGGATTATTTTGGAACAGGTATGATATCTTTCAGACTATCCTGCTCCCCTTACATGGAGAAATTGAGCCTAGCAGAGAGTAAAAGACAAACAGAAGAGGCCACCATGATCTTTTTTACCGGTGTGGTGATGGTCTATCAGGAAAAGGTGAATAGCAGCAGGACGGTGTGTTATTCATTGTTGCCCAAAGGTCAAGCTGAGCTGTGGATGCAGTTGGATGTAAAACAGTGACTGTAATTATTAGATAACCTTTTTCCCTTCATTTATCTTGGAGCTCTCTGTAAAGCCCATCACTGTCATAGCTAAATGTTTTCAGCTGACACAGCGGTCTGAACTGAAGAAACCTAACTGGTCATGGGGAGCTACAGTCTGCCTTCCTAAATCTAGCTGATCAGTTGTTTACCACTGATACTTTGCTCTGCATCACAGCCTTCAGCCTTCCATGACATTTATTTAGGACATTGTGGCCTGGTAAGTTTTTATTCCAGATGGGTATTTGCTTGAAGCCCTTATGTTGCAATTAGTAGTGTGAGCTGTTGTCTTAACAATGCAGATGTTGCCTCTAGGAGGACTAGAGTTGTGCTATGCATGTTTTTCATTAAATGGTAGCACTTCAGGTACAGGAGAAACCTTGGATTGGCCACTCTATTCCCGTCTCTTCTGGGCAGGGCTGCCTGTGCTCAGACCCAACAAGAATCTGCCCAGACTAGTCTTGAGGACTTGTGAAGGGGAAGTATTCCTTGCCTGTGCTCTACTCACTAGCCAAGTAACTTGATCAGCAGCTGCTGGCACTTGCAGGAACCCTCTGAGACAGCAGCTCTTCCTGTTTGGTGGGTTTGGCTGTCAAGGCAGTCCCAGAGCCCAGACCTCTGGTGGTAGTACATGAAGAGAAAGAAAGTCCACCTCTTTTTTCCATGAAGCTTTTCAGATCTAGCAGCTCTGAAGTGCTCCTCAATAGTGGCTGTGAAAGCAGTGAAATATGAAAAGTGGCAGATGTGCAGAGCAAGAAGGAACCACTTTTACCCGCTCCCTTTTCAGACTTGTTCCCAGTGTGGGCTTGTTACAGAATAGAGAGAGAGCAAGTAATTTCCTGTTCCTAGAAAATGGTGCTTCATATTCGTTTAATACTTGGTAAATACAGAGTCCCTGAAGGCTGAGTGGAAGGCAGATGTGCAGCTAGAGAGCAGGCAGAGTAGCTGAGGCTGGGATTTGAGCAGCCTCCATTCATTACCCAGTCAGGCTGAACTGCAATGTGAAGGGAAACATCCAGAACATCTGCTTTTGTGCTGATGAGGAGCTCAGCACCTGCTTTTGGTCTGCTGGGTCTGCTGCAGCTGTGCCAGAGGCAGTGTGGAACCCATACCATGCCCTTGTACCCAAATACAACTTAAATACAGCTGAAAACTTGACCTGAACATTGCCCTGTGATGAAATCTTTGACAAATTGTGTCTGATTTAAAATAACTATTTTGTAAATAGCATTTCAACTCTTAAACACTTGAGGGCTCTTCTTTCTGCTGGGCAAGGGCAACTTGTACAGTTCAAGAAAGGGGTCTTGCCATGGTTTAGGGGGAGAGAGGGGTCATCTGGCTTTGGAGATACTCCTAATCCAACTGTTTAGCTGTTTTTTACTGCTAATGCATTTCAACTGCTGACATACACTGATGCCAGGCAGAGGAGAAACTGGGAGGAAATAAAACCTGCTATGCTCCTGAAACTCTTTTTGTTTGCTATGCCAGTACCATGGGTTAGGAAGGAAGGAGTTGCTTGGCTATACATTTGTATCCAACCCCCCGCCCTCCATGCTGAAAGACAGCCCTGAGAGACCAGGGCTCAAAGCTCAGCATCAGCAGGACCAGCATTTCCCTATTGCTTTGCACAGGTATTCCTTACTGATCCCACTAAGCCGAGGAACTCTTGGGGGAAAAAAACACCCTGGAGGACCAAAGGATTACAACTAATTCTTGAGCATCTGAAAGGTGCGATGGGATGTGGCAGTGCCAGTGCAGCAGGTCATCTGTGCTGGAGGCAGGACACAGTTTCTTTGGTGCTGTGCCTTTTATTTAGTGCTCTTGCTGCTTTCTGACAGCACCCATGGCTGAAATTAGTGGATTTTTGAGACAACCTCAGGTTTTTTTCATTCCTGTGTTCTGTGCCATTTATCTACTGCTGAAATTCAAGTTGTTGTGGTCATAGGAGTAAGTTGGAGGATGCATAAAAAGCTAAAATAAAAGTGGAAAGTGCAAAAAGAATCCCAAATTGCGTGACTGATCCTGGTACTGTGGTCATGGGGTCCTGCTGCTTCCAGTCCCCTGGAGAAGATGGAGATGTTCTAGTGATGCCCTTGTCTGTGATTCACATAAAAGGATGATGGCAAGAGGAAAAACATCTGCTCCAACCCTTGGCTGGACGATATCATGAAATCACAGAATCAATGAGGTTGGAAAAGACCCTTAAGATCATCAAGTCGAACCATTCCCCATCACTGCCAGGGCCACCACTAAGCCATGTCACAAAGGGCCTCATCTGCATAGTTTGTAAGCACTTCCAGGGACAGTGACTCCACCACAGCTCTGTGCAGCCTGTTCCAATGCCTGAGCACCCTTGCGGGATAAATTGTTCCTAACATCCAGTCTAAACCTCCCCTGATGCAGCTTGAGGCTGTTTCCTCTTGTCCTACCCCTTGTTATGCGGGAGAACAGACTGACCCCCATCTCATTACAACCTCCTTTCAGGCAGTTGTAGAGAGCTATAAGGTCCCCCCTAAGCCTTCTCCAGACTAAAGCCCCCCAGGTCCCTCACCCATGTGTTTTTAAGTAAAAATCTGCTGTTACCTGAGAAACAACCCTGCAATCTCCCTAAAAGATGTGACCATGAGATCCATCCCATTTCCTTTCCTAAGCTTGGTTTCCCAGGCTCTTTTATTCACATTTGCACTCGTTTCTACATAAAGGCAAACCAGAAAGCTTTTAAAAACAGTGTTATCTTTCTCAGCTCAGCAACTGAACATATGCTAAGCTTCAAGTAACCAAATTTCCTTAGAGGTTTCTCTTTACTGAAAACCTGCAGTTGAATCAAGGGGTTTCTGCTATGGTCATGAGATATTTTGGGTTTGGGGTTATTTTTTGTTCTTTTTAAAAGCTTAAGATTTTCACTGCTGGGATTTCGTATGCTGGAAAGAATTAAGCTCCTCCCTGCCGTGCTGAATAGGCAGAGCAAGGGGGAGCAATGCAGGGCACAGCAATGAGATGGTCTGGGTTTGTTGCTGTATTAAAGCCTGACACTGCAAGCAGTGAAATAGTCTGTTCTTCCCAATATCTGATGGCAGTTGCAGCTAGGAGCTGGTTTAAGAGCCAGGACACAGGTGAAGGCTGGATGAACCCATCCATCCTGTTCTTCAGCAGACGGGACATCCCCTCCTGCCGCTCGCTATGCCTGGACAACCATGCAGGGAGATAGATGGCAGGCTTCTAGGTGCCAAATTGAAGCAACTTCGGGTCTTCACCAGCAGAACTGGGTGTCCTGGAGCAGCGTGGTTGTGATGGGCTGTTGACCCAGAGCGACCCCTGCTGTGGGTTGGGGCCCTGTTCCCTGCAGGCTGGGTGATGGACCAGTAATGGGGACCCCTCTGCCCCTTCTCTCCCCTGCCCAAGCACAGTTGGGGACATGTCCTTAAACCCTGCAGTGGCAGTGAGTGTCTACCCTCAGCTCCAGGAAAACTTTGCTCTGGAGGGACTGGGACAGCAAAGAAATGGGTTCTGCTGGGGAAAATCATGCTCCAATAGTAAGAAAAAGATCTGGGGGCTCATCTCCATTCCAGACTTCACTAAATGTCAGCTGAGTGTCCCTGTGTGTGCTTGAAGGCTGTGCTGGTCGGGAAGAAGGAGCCATCCCCTTGCTCTTTGTCTCAGCGTAGCTCTCCTCCCATACCCAGAGTCAGGCATCCTGCCCTGCTGCAGCTTCCTATGGTGTTAGACTGAGGCCTGGGACCACCTCCGTGGCAGTGAGTCCGTCCACTCCCCAAGCCTGCTCCCTCTGACACCAAGGGAGCACCAAGCACTCCCTTTTCTCCCAGCCAAGAGAGACCAGCGCTGATACTACAGCAGCTGCCTGCTGCCAATTGCATCCTGCATCCAATTACATCCCTGAAGCACTTCCACCATCAGAGGCTTCACACTGGATATGGATTTATCAATTGTCGCCCCCCCCCCCCCCCCAACCCCCCCCCCCCCCCCCCGTAGCCATGGCAACGCTTGCCTTGGGCAGGCTGCACTGGAGCGGGTGACAAGCCTCAAATGTGGCTGTTTGCTTGGGCCTGGAAATTTCCCTGCCATCTGGGAATAGGAATTCCCGCAGTGAACTGGGAGCCAGGGTGAGAAATGTGAGAAATGTCCCTTTTTGGGCTGAGCACCCTCCAACAGGAACGGCAAAACCTTGATCTGAGTGCTCCTTGGGTTTTCCTCCAAATAATGGGGGAATGTCCAGGGGGTGGTGCCCTAGTTCTGTGTCCTTGCCCCAGCCATGGGTTGGGATTGACAGCCCTGCTGTGGCCACCGCATGGTCCCTTGGTGGCACTGCCTCTGCCCTGCTGTGACCATGGTCTATGAAGCTGCCGCCAGGAGCCCAGGGGGACAGTGACAAGGCACACAAATGCAGTGACACAGGACACAGATTTGGTGGCGGGGTAGGGCTGGATGATGGGGGTGAGGACTGGGTGGTAGGGCAGGGCTGGGTGGTTTAGAAAGGGATGCAGGGACTTGGGGAAGGGATGGAGTGACAGACAGCAGGAGGAGGCAGCAGGGTAGGGTGACAAGGCAGGGCTAGGTGTCAGTACAGGGGTAGGTGACATCGGGCAGAGCAGGTGATACCGGACAGGGGTAGGTGAGAAGGCAGGGCAAGGAGCCGGCTGCTCCCATGGTGAGCGGTGCTGTCCCGGTGTCCCGATACCCCCCCCGTGCCGATGCCGGTGTTCCAGTCCCGTCTGCCCCGCGGTGCTGGTGTCCCATTGTCCCGGTGTTTGCCGTCCCTCCGCGCCGCAGTGCTGGGTGTCCCGGCGCCCCACTGTCCTGTCCCGTCCCCACTCGCCGTCCCGGTGTCCTTGTCTCGGTCCCCCTTCCCTCCCCTCTGTCCTGGTTCCCGGGTATTCCTGTATCCCGCTGTCCCGGTAAGTCCCGGTACGTCCCTGTCCCCCTCCCCACAGTCTCTCTGTTCCGGTGTCCTGTCCCCCCGCGCTGTCCCGCTATCTCTGTCCCCCTCCTGTTGCCCCCTTCCCCCTCGCTGCTGTGTCCCGATGTGTTCCCGGTCCTCTCTCCCCTCCCCTTCTGTCCCGGGGTCCCTCTGTCCCGGAGCGTCCCGGGACGCCCCCTCCCCTCCCGCTGTCCCACTCCCCCCCCGTCCCCTGCCCTTCGTCTGTCCCGGGTCAGCGCGCCCCCTGGTGGCGGCGGGCGGCGGCGGCGGCGGGTATAAAAGGCGGAGGCGGGCAGGGGCGGCGGTGGCAGCAGCGGCGCGGCGGCAGCGGGAGATGGCCGGCCCGCAGCAGGCCCCGCACCTCCACCTGGCCGAGCTCACCGCCTCCCAGTTCCTCGACGTCTGGCGACACTTCGACGCAGACGGTCAGTCCCGGGGCGCGGGGGACCCCCCGTTACCCGCCCCGGCGCGGAGGGCACCGGGCTGAGCATCCCTCATAGCGCGGGCGCGGGGAGACACGATGTAGAGTGCCAGGGTACCCCGCCGCGGGGAGTTCAGAGGGGCAGAGCCCGCGGAGCCTCCGGGAGCAGCCACGTCGAGGGGAGCTCCGGAATGGGGGAGGCTGTCGGCATCCCCCGGGGACCGCCCCGTCGGGGAGGGATGAAGCGCTCCGGTACCGGGCCCTGCGAGAGGCCCCCGCCCGTGGGCCCCTGAGCCCGGGGGTGCCACGGGTCCGTCGCACATCCCCCAAGAGCCGGGGTTCGCTCGGGGTTGGTGTCACCTCTGCGCGCTGGTCTGGGGGTTCTGCCCTCCCAGGGGTGCCCCCCGTGTCTCCGCGGAGCCCTGTCCTTGGCACCTGGGGTGCCTGTAGGCGGGGGGGGTGGGGGGGGGAAGGAATGACAGCGCGGCCACCATCGCCTGCCCTGAAGGATGGGGGTGACAGAGGGCCTGGGTGAGGAGCGGCCGCCCCATGGCTGGAGAGCTCCTTCCCCCTCATCCAGCTCCACAAAACCTCTCTCTCCCCGGGGACGCTGTGGCAGCGGCCGTGTCCCCAGCGGGGAGGTCACCTCCCCATGGAGTCGCAGCTGGGCATGCCACCTCCCGGTTCCCATTGCTGCCAGCCCCCGAAAGAGGGGAAGGGGGGCAGAAATGCCAAAAGCAGCATCGTTTTGATGGGAAATTAGTTTATTCCAGTGCCACGAAGGAGGTTTATCCGGCTGGGATGAACAGCCCAAGGGGAGAGCTCCTTCCCCAGGTCCTTATCCCTGGGAAGGGTTTGGGGACCAAACTCCTCCTGGGAACTGCCTCACGCAGCGCCCCCGGCTGTGCTGCTGGAGCCAAAGCTCATCCTGTGCTCAGTGCCCTCCTGCCCACCCCGTCGGGTCCCTCCTGCAGCCTGGGGGACACGGGCATGGCTGACCCTGTCCCCGCTGGAGCTGGCACTGCAGCAGGTTAGGGCTTGAGGACAGTGGGATGGTGGCAGCCAGTGGGAACTGGCGGCTCCTGGGGTACGTGTCCAGCTGCCTTCCTGCAGCGTGTCCCTCGGAGGTGCTCCGTCACCTCCAGAACCCAGAGGCAGGCCGGGAACCAGCTTGGCCTGTGTCCCAGCGCAGGGCGGGTGCCCAGGTGAGGAGGGACTCGGGTGTCGCAGGAGGTGGTGGTCTTGGTGAGGAGGATGCTCTGCAACACCGGTGGGAGGTCCAGCAGCCCAAGCTGCTTTCCTCTGCCGATGGGAAGGGGGTGATAGAGGGACCCGGTGTTCATCCCCTGCTGAAGGGGCTGTCTCACTCAAACACTTCCCTCTACTTAAGTTCCGATAGAGCTTTCACTTCCCTTAAGGCTCCAGAAGCATCCCCTTGGGTGCCTTTGCTGGCAGGGAGGGTACAGGGTGCAGCTGCATGGACCAGACATAGCTCTCCAGAGAGGCTTTTCCATGCACCCTGCCCCTCTGCAGACATGAGCCAGACCTGTCCAAGCTGCTGCTCGGAGGAACTCCAGTTGCCTGCTGTGGCTTTCCTTGGTGTTATCCTTCTGCCCAGCACTGAATTGAAAGGAGCTGGTGACTCTCCCACACCTGCAGAAGCAAAGCCCATGGGAAGGACAGTGGAAAGCCAAGCCCCGCAGCAGTTCACACCAGCACCCAGCATTGCCCGAGCCCCTCATCCTCTCTTGGGAGGGATGTTGCTTATCCATCGGGATGCGGTCATTCAAGAGGAAGGTGTCCTGGGACTTCCCCAGGCGCTTCCAGATGGGATGTGGGTAGGTTGGTCCCAGACGCTGCATTGCAGAGGGGAGAAGATGGTGCTGGGGAGCCTGAGGGTGCTGATGCTCAAGGTGAATGAAGAGATTTAGTTAAACCACGTGATTAAAGCAGCAGATGCAGAAAACGCACCAAACACTGGGATGGGGATGGGAACAGGGACAAAGTCCCCTGTGCCCTTCAACTGGGCTCTGGGAACTTGTCAAGAGCTGTGTCCCCTCCAATGGGGCTCTGCAAATCCAGTCACTACCACGTTTCTACCACACTAGGCTTCAGCTTCTTTGGTGCCACAATCACCATGAAGCCATGTCCCCTTGCAGAGGGGCAGAAGCACTGCATCCCCCTGACACATCCTTCTGACACCAGGGGGATATTACTGTATTCTTTCCCTTCCCCAGGAAATGGCTACATTGAAGGCAAAGAACTGGAAAACTTCTTCCAGGAGCTGGAAAGTGCAAGGAAGGGGACGTGTGTGGTAAGGGGTTTGCTTTCTCCCTCCCCTGTTCTCTCTTTTCTGAAGGTTCAGGCTCCCATCAGTCCCATCTCCTCTGGGATTGGCACCTAGGAGCGGGATTGGGGCACCCCCAGGAGGAAACAGGGGGAAACACCAGCATGGGAGGGGGGATAAATGCTCCCATCTCTGCTCCTTGCTGGCAGGACTCAAAGAACGACAACTTAGGTGACAAAGTGAAGGAGTTCATGCACAAATACGACAGAAATACTGACGGCAAAATCGAGATGGCAGAGGTGAGGGGAGCTGGTCCCATGACCCGCGGGGTGCTCGTGTCCCCTCCGCCCCCAGTGCTTGTACCCCCCGATGCCTGTGTCCCTCCCAATGCTCGTGTCTCCTGTGATGCTCGTGCTCCCCGCAGCTGGCCCAGATCCTGCCCACGGAGGAAAACTTCCTGCTGTGTTTCCGCCAGCACGTGGGCTCCAGCTTGGAGTTCATGGAGGTGAGCAGGGCAGGCTGTGCCAGGGCTCCCTTGGGATCCGCTTCCCTGATGCAACTGGGAGCTTGCGGGTATTGCCCAAACCTCTCCTAGTCTACCCCAGAATCTTGGCTTTAAGTCAGCAATGGGAGGTGATGCTGGTTTGGGGAGCGTGATGAGTTTTCCCTGTCCTCATCATCCCTTCAGCACATCTCAGGGCAGCTGGGACCTCATCCCAGTCTCCAGCACAGGTGACCTGCAAGGATCTGGAGCTGCTTCTGTAAACTTCCAACCTGGGGTGGTTGGTCCTTAGCACCCAAGGGATGTGCTGGAGCAGACAACACTGCTCTGGGCCACCCCAAAACCTCACTGTGCCCTTGCATGGGGTAATCCCATCTGCAGGGTGGGAGGGAAACTGCCCATGGTGACTGAAACGTGGCTGGGGTTTGGAGTGGGATGTGCAGCATCTCAGGAGGGGAGAGCTTGTACTTGGAAAATGAAACCAGGGTGGAGGTGATGGCCGAAAGAGGAGCACCCAATGGCATGGAGGGAGTTAAGGGGGTGCTATTGTTTAATTGGGGACTGCAATTAAATATTAAAGACTGGTCTTTCATGCTGGGGTGAGGATAATAGCGCTTGAGCTCTTGGCATGTCTGTGGACAAAACTATCCAGCTCCAGGTGGCACTGGTGAGACCATCACCAGCCGAGAGCTGACTCCAGCTCTGCCAGGGTGGTGGGAGAAGCTCCAGGTGGGGCTTAGCGGGGTTCACACGTGTTGGTGGGAACATGGGACACAAGTCTACACCAGCACTGGGGATGGTTCCTTCACAGGCTTGGCGCAGGTACGACACAGACCGCAGCGGCTACATCGAAGCCAACGAGCTCAAGGTGGGCTACGGGCAGGAGGGGGGCTGAGCTGGGTCCCTTGTGGTGGGATGGCACTGCTGGGACCACCAGGCCTGGGGACAGCCAGCACAGCCCTCTCCCTTCAGGGCTTCCTGTCGGACCTGCTGAAGAAGGCCAATCGCCCCTACGACGAGCCCAAGCTGCAGGAGTACACACAGACCATTGTAAGTGGGACCTCATCCCAGGGGTGTTGGCACCACGGTGTGTGCGATGGAGGGGAGGAGGAGGCAGTGGTGATGGGGTGCTGCTTGTGTCCCGGCAGCTGCGGATGTTCGACACGAACGGTGACGGGAAGCTGGGCCTCTCTGAGATGTCACGGTAAGGTGACGAAAAGGAAGCGGTGGGGAAGGAAAGACACCCTGAAACACTCACAGTGGGGGCTCCAGCTTCCAAGGGGAATAGTTCTCCTCTTTAATTCGCTCATGTTTTGGAGTGAAGAGTCACGGAACACCAGAAGTTTGGGTTGGAAGGGACTTTCAGAGCTCATCTAGTCCAGCCTCCTGCAGGGAGCAGGGACACCTTCAACAACCGTACCACGTGGAGCCTGGCCTGGGATGTCTCCAGGGATGAAGCATCCACCACCACCTCTCTGGGCAGCCTGGGCCAGTGTTTTACCACCCCAAATGTACAACATTTTTTCCTCACATCCAGCGTGAATCTCCCTCTTTTGATTTAAACCCATCTGCCCTCACCCTATCCAAGACTCATTTGGGTTTAAAAAGTGTCTTTTCCTGGCTGCTTCCTGCTTATCCCTGGCCCCTCTTGTCTTTCAGACTTCTGCCTGTGCAAGAAAACTTCCTTCTGAAGTTTCAGGTAAAATAAAGCGTAATAAAAATATAATATTAATGATATTAATGATAATAATAATAATAATAAATTGAATCCTGTTCCCTGCTTGCACCTCATCCCTCCCTCATGCCCTGGTGTCCCGTGCTGTTCCCAGGGGGTGAAGCTGTCCTCGGAGGAGTTCAATGCCATCTTTGCCTTCTATGACAAGGTAGGGGCCGGATCCCAGGAAGCTGCCCCAAATAAATATAACTTGGGGGAAAAAAAAACCAACCCAAACCCATGTGTTTTCAGTTGGGTCAATTCCCTTCTTCCGTGTGGGGTGTGAGTGCTGGTTAACGGTCACCCATGCCCAGGGTGGTGGGGCTTGCTCATGTCCTTCTCCCTCCTGATGTCCCTCCCTCCTTATCCAGGATGGAAGCGGCTTCATTGATGAGAACGAGCTGGATGCACTTCTGAAAGACCTGTATGAGAAGAATAAGAAAGTAAGTGGAGGACAGAGCCCGGGTGCCCTCCCCCCCCCAGTACATCCTCTTCTTCCAGAAGCATCTGGATAGGTTTAGACTGGGTGTCAGGGACAATTTCTTCCCCAGAGGGTGCTCATGCATTGGAACAGGCTGCCCAGGGCAGTGGTGGAGTCAGCGTCCCTGCAAGTTTTCACACACCGTGTAGACAAGGCCCTTACTGCCATGGTTCAGTGGTGGCCTCGGCAGTGCTGGGCAATGGTTGAAGATCTTAAAGGTGTTTTCCAACCTGGCTGATTTTGTGGTTTTCATTATCTCCCACCTGCTGTATCCACACTCCCCATGCCCAGGAGAGATGCTTGGTGGTCACAACCTGGGGGTGCTCCCCAGGGAGAAACAGGGTTCCCAGCTCCCACCGCCTCCCTCCTCTGCTCCTCTGCAGGAGATGAGCATCCAGCAGCTCACCAACTACAGGAAGAGCATCATGAACCTGTCCGATGCAGGAAAGCTCTACCGCAAGGAGCTGGAGATCGTGCTTTGCAGCGAGCCCCCTGTGTAGGACCATGTAGGAGCATCCCACCCTACCCCACGTGCTTCCTCCTCCCCACAACCAAGCACAACAGGGGAGCGCCCATCACTGCAGTACTCCCTCAGTAGCTCTTGGGCTTGTTGTAGGTCTTTAAAATCCTAATTCTGGGAGGAAACTTAATTCCATCCCATTCTCCTAGTTGGATTAATGATCTATATTCTTTCAGGGGATTGTTTTCATTGTTTTGGTCTTTTGTTGGTTTTCTCTGGTTGACCAAAGAGAGTTTACAAATAAAGTTAAGTACTGGTACAGCAAAGCCTTCTCCTGCTGCAGCAATGGGGCTGGGGGAAACAGGAGAGGTGGGTCCTGTACCCTGACCCCTACCTGGATGATGGGGTAGAGAGTCCACAAGGGTTGTGGCCCCTCCCAGTATGGCCCAGTTAAGCCCTGTACAGCCCAGTATAGTGCAGTGCAGTCCTATATGGTGCAGTGCAATCCTATATGGCCATGTATTACCCAGTGCAACTCTATAACAGTGCAGGATAACCCAGTTCAGGTCTGTACAGCCCAGTATGGTGCAGTGCAGTCCTATATGGCCATGTATAACCCACTACAGGTCTGTACAGCCCACTATGGTCCAGTTCAGCCCAGTACAGCCCAGGGTGGTGCCATACAGTCTGGTACACATATGGTGCAGTAAAACCCTGTGCAGTCCAATATGGCTCTGTACAGTCCTGTACAGCCCAGTTTGGGTCATTACAGCCCCATATCATGCAATGTAGACCTATACAGTGAAGTGCAGCCCCATGGACCAATAAACCTGCACAGACCCTATAGTCCTGCACAGCCCTGTACAGCCCCGTGAAATACGAGCTCACTCCTCTGATCGAGATAACAGGGTTTTATTGATGGACAAAATCAATAAAGCCAAAGGAACAGCACTGGGTGCGTGACCGTAGCCAGAGGCACACTGATCAGCATTAGTTACAGGTCTATATACTGTCACTATTGCATTAGTCACATACATGTTCCTAATTCCCACATATAGGCGGGGGATGTTATAACCAGCTCCAGGAACTCACTACCGTAAGTCTCCTCCTCTTGGTGTCTGTGCACTGCTCTCCAGTGATCGTGGGCAGGAGTCTTGAGGATGAAGTAAGCAGTCTTCCTCATGAGCAGGGCTCTCCAAGATGGAGTAAGCGCTCTTCCTCACAGTGTACTTTTCACCTTTGGCACAGTTGGATGCCCCAGCATCACACAACTAGCTGAAACCAGCCAGAGCTGTAATCCTTCTGATAAATAACAAAGATCTAAAACAGTGTGACCTTCCTGCAGAATTGACTGCAGGATGGGCAGACAAAGAGTATCCCAAGCTAGCAGATGTTTGGGAGGCTCTGTCTCTAACGGATAAGTAGAAGGATGGTGTGAAATAACTCATTCATGTTTAGTGAGACCACTAAATCCTGTTACCTCACCACAGACTTACAACATAAACATTGTTCTTTAAAGCTAAAGATACTTTAGGACACTAGTGTGAAACAATTAACTCATGTTCAGTGGGGCCACTAAATTCCACAGGCAAACAACATAAACACTGTTCTCTTTCTACAACCTAACTTAAGCTAAAAAGTACTTCAACTCTATGTTGTCCAGGCAATAGCTTTTCTTATATCAAGTCATCCGTTCCCCCCCCGTTTCTTTTACCTTTACAAATTCCTTTGCTATGTGACTCCATTTCGCTCAACAGTTCTGACCCTTTTTAACTTGTCTAATCTTGTGTCTTTAGCAAGCTTTGTGTCCGTTATTGTAAATTCCAACAGTTATATCCACATAACCACACCTATGATTTGTGAAAACCAACACATGTATGTGTTTATCACAGCCCCATATGGCCAGGTACAGCCCAGTATGGCCCACTACACCATATGGCTCAGTAGAGTCCCGTGCAGTCCAGTCCAGTGCAGTGCAATGCAGTCCAGCCAGGACAGCCCTGTACAGTTCTGCACCCTTTACAGACCTGCATCACTTGTCTGGTGCTGTACAGTACTATACACGTGAGCACAGCCCGCTAGTGCTGTACAGCCTAATACAGTGCAGTACAGACTTCCATATCCCAGCCCAGTACACCCCACTGCAGGCCAGTACACCCCACTGCAGCCCAATACAGCCCAGCACAGCTCAGTACAGTCCAGCACACTCCAGCACACCCCAGTACAGCTCCATACACCCCAGTGCATCCCAGTACGCCCCAGTGCAGCACAGTACAGTCCAGTACACCACAGAACAGCACAATACCCCCCAGTGCAGCCCAGTAGAGCCCAGCACAACCCAGTACAGTCCAGCACACCTCAGTACAGTTCAGTACACCCCAGTGCAGCCCAATACAGCACAGTACAGTTCAGTACACCCCGTAACAGCCCAATAGAGCCCAGTGCAGCCCAATAGAGCCCAGCACAGCCCAGTACACAGCAGCACAGCCCAGTACAGCTCAATATACCCCAGTGGAGCTCAGTACAGCCCAGCGCAGCCTAGCACAGCCCAGGGCAGACCAATACAGCCCGATACACTCCCGTACAGTTCAATACAGCCCAGTATAGGCCATCGCAGCGCAGGACAGGGAGGCACGGCTGCAGAGAGCCCTCCCGTCCGCCAGGGGGCGCACATCGGCGCAGCAGGAGGCAGGGCGGTGCATGCGCGGGGCGGGGCGAGGCGCCGCAGCCGTCGTGTGAGGTGTCCGCTTGCCAGCCTGCCCGTTCGCCGCCATGGCTCTGCTGCACACCCGCCGCCTGCTCGCCACCCCGCGCCTCGCCGCCGCCGCCACCCGCGCCAGGTGGGGGCTGAGGGGCAGCCCAGCCTCTGGAGTCATCCTGCGATGCCGGTGGAGGGGCTTTCCCGCCGCCGTACTCCGCGCTGTTGGGCGGCAACGTGGGGGGGGGGGGGGTTGGGGGCGGGGGGTGAGGCGGGGGGGGTGAGGCGGGGGGGTGATGAAGTTGGTGGCGAGGCGAGCCCTCCGCGAGGAGGAAGCGTGTCCCTCCGCGGAGACTGTAGGCGCCGCGGGGGGGGGTGGGGGGGGAGACCGGCGGTTGCCGGGGTGACGGCGCAGCGATTGGCTGGGAGCGCGGCCTCCTCGCGATCTGATTGGCTGCGGCCGCTACCGGCGCCTGCAGCCTGCCCTTGAGGAGCCACCGTGGAGGGCGCGTGGGCGCGCGGGGCTGTGCCCCGAGAAACGGGGCCCGGGTGCACCCTAAGCACTTAGAAACGGGGCCCGGGCGCTGCTTCGAGTGTGCCGCAGGGACCGGGAACCCTGTGCACCGAGAAATGGGATCTGGGGCGCCCTGTGCCCCAAGAACCGGGCCGGGGCATCCTGTGCACTGAGAAATGGGGCTGGGGGGTGTGCAGTGGGGCATGAAGGGCCCCGTGCACTGCAAAATGGGGATGGGTTGCTGTTACCTTGCATGGACCGTATAGCGGTAGCAAAGGGACCTTGCGCACCATGCAGTAGGGGTGGGGTGCCGCTGCTAGAGACATGCTTTTATTTGTGCAAAACCTGGTGCAAGCAGGGCGCGGGTTAAGGGTGTTCCTGTGGTCAGCACAGCTGCACTGTGTCTGAAGCCAGGGAGGAATGGGCAGGAGAATGTAGGATGCAGCTGGAGCCCTGAAGAGAGCCCAGAAGAGCTCCACACAGCACAGCTGACCCCAGACCCACAGGCCACTGGCTGGGACCAGTGACCAGGGTGGAAAAATCTGGGCAAGAGCCTTGCTGCAGCTCTGCAGAACCCTTTGACTCCTGGGCCACACTGGCTCTGAAAACTAATGAACAACTTCCACCCCTTGTCAGAGCAGAAAGTGGTGGGTGATTTTCCGTTCCAGAAAAGAAGGCTTTTAGCTATTGATTAACCCTGTTCTGTCAATCACAGTCCCTCACTGCCTTGTGAGACAAATACTCTCAGTGCCTGCTTCTTCTACAGCAGCCTCTTCTCCATGGATATGGAAGAGCAGCTGCTTAGAATGTGGGTTTTGCCCCTTGAACTGTAGCAGGCCTGGGAGAGGTATGCAAGATCACTGGCAATAGCTTTGCTTTTCTCAAGCTTGTTACACAGCAAAACATAAATTACCAAATTGAGGTCACCTGAAAGACATGCGAACCATCCGTTTTGTACGTAAAGAACCTTTGTGCACAGCCACTGTTGTTCCCAAAGAGTGGCTCATTATCCCTGGACAGGGAATGCCAGGCAGTGATTAGCAGTTTCTGTGTGCTTATCTTCAGCAGCTTTGGTGCTCTGTGCTATAAACAGTCTTTCTGAAATCAGGATGGAGGTGAAGAGGTACTGACCAAATGATTAAAGGCTCCCTTGATACACAGATGCTAATGAAGGTGATAACTCACGTGCTGCTCTGATGTATCACCAGACAGCTATTTTAAATGCTTTTCCTGGGGGGAAGCTTATCACAACTCATTGGGCAATGAAGTTTTAGGCTTGAAAGGACCTTAGGAGCCAGCCAGCAGCCTGTTGGCTTTGTTCTTATGTAAATATTGGTGTTAGCTGTGGTATCTGTTATCCAGAGAGTTGCTTTTGGCCCCTTTCTGCTCTGCTCTGGCTTGCAGAACTGCTGTAGGGACTTTGGAGGAGGTTTGAAATCCAGTGTCTTACCTGGCTGTACTGCAGGGAAGGTGGACTAGCCTCTTCCCAATGAAAACCTTCACTGGGCTTCTGAACACTTGTGTAGTTGCTCTCTGGGTTTGGCTTGAGTGTGTAAGCATGCCCATGGGTCTCTGCAGCTCAGGCCGTAAGTTTCACATATATTTTTGAAGGGTGTTACTGGTTTTTGCAGTTCCTGGTACATTTTCCTGCCCTCTCTGTCCCATCTGTCACAATGTGCTTGCAGCTGGGCATTGAACTGGCTCAGAAGACAAGCCTGGCTGATGAGTACAGACAGTACTTGAATACCAGCTCTCATCAGCATCTGAACTCTGACTTGGGCCACTCTGTTCAGGTCCTGTATATGGAGGATGTGCATTCTTTGCCCTGCACCTGGGATCCCTCAGCTCAAACTCCCCTCTGTTTAGTTTAACCCCAGCTTAAACTTCCCTCTTGTTAGTTTTACGCA